ATGTTGATTTAAAAAAAAAAAAAAGAATTTAGGCAGCATTACTGGATCTATACAAAAGCTTTTATGTAAGAAAATCTGATTTTACAGTAAGACTAACAGACCGAGGTACGCTGGATGGTGATGCTATTGTGTTCCACCCAGCAGTACTGACAGTAGACCAGCATCTGTGCCTCTATATGGAGTCTGTGTTTGGGTAACATTAATCTCTATGTACTTTCTATGAGTTATGACTCTCTGTGAAGAAGCTGATCATCAGTTCACCTTTGCACCATCAAAACCTTCACTAAGAGTAGATGTGATATCGGCCCTGCTGATACTGTGAACATCACGCCCCAAAAATGCAAATTGCAAGGGATTAATCAGCATTAGTTTGCATTGTTTCCTCCATATTAGCTGTGCAGTAAATGCATGATGTTCTTAAACACCCTTCTGCCCCTTAACACCCGTGATCAGCAGCAATTGCGCCTCTTTCTGCTTCTTTACAGCAATTCTGAGAGAAAAACACTGAAGAGACACAAACAGACAACCACAATGGCACTACACACACACACACACACACGCACACACACACACACACACATGCACAGACAGTTTGATTCTAATTGGGTGACCCAAAGCCACTGATATCATCTGCCATGGTGTGAGACCACAATCGCACCCAGAGCGAGCGGCGGTGCAGATACACCGCCCCGTTGGAGGAAGACCGGAGGAGTGAGGGAAGGAGGAAGGTTAAAGAAAAGGCGAATAGAAGACAAACAGGCCTGAGATGAAGAAGGAGAAGAAGAGGGAGAACACAACAACAACGACAAAAACACAAAGTGGCGCCGAGTTCATTAATTAGAATTTCAAATTGGACAAACTCAAGATGACAGCGTTGCGCTTGTCAAATCAGATCATGCCCTGGCGGGATGAGAGAGAGGGAAGGCAGAGAGAGAGAGAGAGAAGGAGGCATACTGCTCAGAGCCAAATACCACTCTTAGTAACTGAATGGGTGCCATCGCTCCGTCTCCCCCTTCTCTCCATTTCCTCTGATTATGCCGACCGCCTCCCCTCTGTCCTCGCGTGAATGTCACGGCTGCCTTAACGAGGAGTGACAATTAAAACATCATCACCGTCTTCAGGCTGAATGGGAGCGGCCTGCCTGGGAAACAGAGAGACAGAGAGAGAGAGAAATAAAATAAAAGAAATGAAGGAGCTACAGGGGGGGGGAATACTTTAAGAAGAGAAAAGTGGAGAGATACTTTGGCAATGTACTGAACTCTGAAAGCATGAGCAGCGCCCCTGGGCTAGGACCTGCCCGAGGAGACCTATAACCAGTGACCTCTTTAAAATCAGTTTTTAAAAACACATCTTGACAGATTTGATTTGACGTGTTTTTTAAAAAAAATCATTTTCCCATTTACTTATAGTGTTAGTGCAGTGGTTCACATATTTACCTACTAAAAGTAAAAGTTCACTAGTTGAGCTCCAGGAGGAGACAAAACTCTTTGGGGTTGTGTCAGACATCTGGTGTAACAATCTGCCAAACCAACCATGTGGAGCTACCCACTGTGGAAGCCTTCTGAATAAGGAAGCAACCATACTGATTATTGATCTTGGTTTCTTTGCTGTCCTTCTTATCTTGTCATGTCTGGTTTATTTTTCTTTGAATTTTGTATATTTTGCTTGTTTTTCACAGCGCTTTGGAAGCTCTGATTTTAAGAAGCTTCTATTACATGTATGATAATGATGATGATGATTTACTGATATAACCGCGAAAAAAGAATACCATAAATTACCAGCTTGCCGCTGTTAGACACATACTATTATAAGAATCATCTGATCAGCTCAAATTAAATATAAGTGACGTAACAGCTCAGGTTTACCTTTGTCCCTTCTTAAAGCAACCACCTGTCTTAGATGTAATGTTAATGATGTTAATGAGCTTTTAGAAGCTAATTTATAACTGATGCTTACTCAACAAACTGCCTGCATTTAACAGCAATAGGAAGGAAAAGGAGGATTATTATTAGATGCTAAGAGATGCTCTGTGGCTACTCCACCGGTGCCATCGATTAGGCGGGCTAGACAGCGTTTGGCGTTTTTAAGTCTGTGTTTTGTGTCTGTGTGTGTACATGTGCACTCAACAGCAGCTGTGCACACTGCACACAGGGAAGGAGCTGTTGCCAAAATGAGCCATCTTCAGAAAGATCCAAAAATTGTCCAACCACTGGGCAACCCCGCACCCGCACACACACACACACACACACACACACACACACACACACACACACACACACACACACACACACAAACTATGGGATGCACAGACAGATTATGACAGCTTAGTTTAACGACAGTTTTAATAGCACATGAATTTACTAGTGGACACAACTTACCCCCATCTTTAAGCTAGCTGAATTCACGAGTGTGTGTATGCGTATGTGTGTATATGGGCACACACAAACAGATAAGCACTCTCCATTTTGATGGCTTTCTGTTATGACTCCATAATGCTAATTACTTTGGTTATGTTCCAGCTTCTTTCAGGGAGACTGTGTGTCTGTGTGTGTGCGCACAGAGGATGACAGAAAAACATTTGCATCATTAAGAATTGTCGAGGCATCTCTGTAAAGCCAGGCTCTGACATCCTGAGAGGATTCTGCACCGCCTGTCCAGAATTCCACTTGACTTTCACGTTCCCTGTATCAAACAGGACTGCCTGGACTCCACTGCTGGCTCTGGTTACTTCTGCTTTTCCTCTCTCTTTCTCTTTTCCTTATTCTCATTTCTCTTAGCTTTCCCTCTCTCCTCTGAGAGTGTGGGCGGCACCTACCTGCACTACGTGGCCCTCCCAGAGGTCTGCTCTAGCAACTGGCGGAATTCCAGTGGATGCACCTGCTTCCCATTTCCTCATCAGTGTGCATATAAAAGAGCTGGTTCAACATCCACTCGTCACCAGGTCGTCACAGCCATCTCAGCTTCAGGTCCTCGATCTCTCAGCTCGTTTTCCAGTCAGTCGATTCAGCTCTGTTTTCCCTTGGAGTTTCTCTGGATGCTCAATCACCCTCTTATTATTACTGCCTGCCCACTTCTCACCACTCTCCAAAGAGGAAGTTAACCACCTGATGTGCTTGCTTACTTCTGAACCCACCTGTTAACTCTTTCAAATTGGCATTCCATGCTGTTATTGATCCTAAGATTGATTTTTAAACTATTTGTAAATATACAATTTAAATGGTAAATACATCTCTTTAGCTTTGTGTAATGACCCACAACATACAGCCTGGAGCATTATAGAACTACTCATGCATTAGTACTTTGTTTAAAACCATTGCACGCTGCTATAAATTCTTTAGATGTTGACTTGCATCGGCACCGCAAACGTCTCAGTGAAAAAGAAGTAGTGATTTCCAGCACACACACAGAGTATCATGTGTTCCATTCGAAGGGTCTTTCTTTGTCAAGGACAGGGTCTTTTGAATGGAACATCTTCCCCACATTGAAAATACAGAGGTGAGATGCATGTGGGACTGCATCCTTCTTCTTACACCTCATACGTTTTCCTACATATCTGCCAAACCAAGAGAGCTAGAAAGAGTTCAGTACATTTATTAGATGTGCAAATAAAAGGAAATAAGTTTTCCTTCCATGATGTGTGGTAAGACCCCATAGAGAATCTTTGAATACAGCTACGTGTTAGGTGCTGTGACGGTGAGAGACTGATGCATTTCTCGTGTTACATTAAGAACTGTGAGGCTACAGCCAGCAGCCAGTAAAACTCAGCAATTAACATATTATATCTAATTTTGATAAAGCTTTATCTTAAGGTACCCATATTCACCATTAACTTGTGGCTTATAGGCATGTAGCTTATTTGCCCTTTATTAACCATTAGAAAACATTTATCATTATTATTGACTTATTCTTCCAAAACCAAACTCTGTGTCCTCTGAGACATTAGCTGAGTTTGCCCTTAATAACCTCCTAATCACTGCTTATTGATTATAAGAGTCAAACTGCTAGTAAGCTAGTTATGGACAAGAGCTCAATTTATAAGCTAAGTTTAAAACATGGCTAATTACACAGTACTAACAGTTTCTAGTCAGTTTCATCAGAGTAGTCTATATTTAAGTGGAACCGTTATCATGATTTCCAGTTCCATATTTTTATTTTCTATTTTTTCACCATTCAAAATATTACTCGAGTGATGTCCCCGTACTTAGATCTGTTTCCTAACTCCTATTGGAGGCGTTAATCAAACTGGATGAAACTTGCTATAAAAACTGCTGAATGTTCCAGGATTATCAATATCTATATAGCTTTTGGGAATCATAACTTTTTTTTATAACACTCAAATTTATATATATAGATATATATATCTATATGTCTATATATTAGATCACATGCATGTATATGAGCATGCGTAGGTGTATGCTGTTGATGTATATGTTACGTATACCTGCACATTGGTGCTTCGTAATACATGTTGTTAAACTATTTTTTTAGTGGAATGTGTTGTCATGGTTATTTGCAAACAGGTGTTAATCAAGAGGTGACACTAATAGCGCCTGTAACTGATGTATGCTGCAAAGAAGAAGGACAATAACAATAACTATGTTCTTATTATTTATTATTCATTCTTACAGAGAGGCTGTGTTATTCATCACTGTTTGTTTTATTCAATAATATAATGAAGATAAAAAGAAAAATATCACAATTAACATACATGTCTGTGTTTTTATACATGATCGTAAAAATACGCACTGCAGGCCTGCTAATGACCAATGAAAGGCCTGTAGGTGCTTTTTGGTAGTATTTCTTCATTTTCTTAAAGAGGCCTTGATGCAGTTCATCACCTGAATGGAAAAAGATGTTTCTGCACCCTGTAAGGTCAAAGCTGCTAGTGACCAAAGTAAGTTTTTCATACCACACTGTATACCTTTTTACAACCAGTTTCAATAAGCAACACTAACCAACCAGTCAGGGAAGACACCTTTGTTTCTGTTCTGTTTCTGTTCAGCTTCCTGGTTCATCATACAGAAAATGAAAATTTTACTTCCAACACAACTTTAATATGTTTAAAACATAAGCATCCTTGACAGACATTGACTTTTAAGTTCATGTTTTTATTTTAGACCTCACGAGTTCAAGACATTTTGTAGCAACTTTGAAATTCTTACGCAGTCATGTGAAACTTATCAACGCTGGGATGCTGGGAAGAAGTTACAGAGCAAGTCCTCATGGCGGGGATAATGTAAGTTATTGTGCAGCATTGCATGAGACGTTATCCTACTTTATTAACTACTTTGGACAGTTCTGTGTTTGTGTTAAATTTAAGTGTAAACCTAAGTAAAGGAGTCACTTATATTGCAGTTAAATTCCAAATATTGCACATACTTTACATTGCTTCACTGTGTCCAGGCTCCTTCGACACTGCTACACCATGAAAGTCCAGTCACTAGGTGTGCGTCCGTACTGCAACAGAACCAAGGTCACGAAAAGGTTACGTGAAAATCTGGTCCTTTGGGGCCCGCACAGAAGAAAATTCATGCCACTAAGTACTAAACTTCTCTCGCCTCAATCTGCTTAATTGCGAGCGCAACACAAATCAAAAAATGAACTCAAATATCCGTAAGCGAATCTGCAAACTCAGCCGCCAAACGGAACACAACACAGAGAAAGAAACTATAATAAAAAATCAAAACAAAATGTTCCCCAATCCGTGACAGCCGCGGAGACAAATCCAATTATTTGTGTCTCATGTTGCAAATTTGTTCTAATGGTCGAAGTGAGAAAGTAAATAAACGCCTGCGAAGGGGAAACAAAAGAATGTGATTTCTAATTAACTTGAAAGAGAAACAGCAGGGCGACTTAGTAAACCCATCTTTCATCTGCTGCCTCAGACCACTCGTTTGTTTGTTGCACAATGTTGTCTTCAAGAGGGGCGGGAGGAAGAGCGTGTGTGGGGGGCTAACACTGCGCTGCTTCCCTCCAAATGAAATGTCAACAGATTTAACAGCGCTGCGGAAGGAGCGCAGCGTTTTCCAGCGTTTTGTCAATTTTATTGTTCATTAAGCTACGCACCCCCCCACCCTCCAACCCCGTCCCCTCGCCCCTCTTCCCCCAAATCCTCTTCTTCCTCCTCCTCTCGCACTTGTTCGAGGCTTCATTTGCAGCATCTTGGCTTTGAAGATCACAAAAGGCTGAGGCAATAATTGGGTTTGTGCAATTACGACAAGCTTAATGAGAGAATTCGGGAGTTTGTCTTTGCCCCTATCTGCAACTCTCCATTAGGCCAGCGACTGTCTCTACTCTGTCGACGAAGGAGGATGTTATCGCACACAAAGATGGCGGCAGTGCATTTATCGCACATATCACTTACAAGGCCTGGATGATGGAGAGAGGAGATATGCTAATTGACCAGCGCAGACTTGCAAATACAAACAAAAAAACAAACAGAGAGCAGAGAAAGTAAAGAGAAGAAGACAGACAGAAGGCAAGTTGAAGCGATAAACTAATCAAAGTGCTTAGAGGACATTTAGGAGACCAAGAAGACATAATATCTTTATAACACTGTAATGCAGTAGTGAGGCCTCCAATGCAAATGTAGTCAAAATAACTGATTCTGCTTTGAAAGTCCTTCAGTTTCTGCAGTCCAGAATGTCAGAACACCGAAGGATGTAGGAGATGTGATCAACAGTTAAGGTAACTGACCTTTAAGAATCATAAACCCTTAGATGACTTAATATCTCCCACACAAGTCCAGACAGCTGCCATCTTTTAGTTTGTTTGCAGGAAGTTTCATTCTGATCACTATACTGTGCACTATGTGATTTCATCAGTGGTGATAACGCATATGGGTCTATAGCTATGCAGTTGCATAGGCCAGCACTGGAGCAGTTGAGAGGCACCACCAAAGGCACAGGAGGATCAGTCCGAGTGTACACCAGCACACAGCTCATTGAAAACAAAGTGGGCCCTATGTGACCCTCAGTGTAAAATGAGTACAAGTGCAGAAGTAAAAGTGCAAGAGCACAACAAAGTAGCAGCCACGAGTAGTAGACGTAGTAGTAGACGACGATCTCGAAGGAGAAGTTCAAGTCAGATGCTGGGTGGCTATGGTTCTGGAGGTAAAGCAGGTCATCTGCTAAATGGAAGCCTGGTTGCTCCAATCTGAATGCCAAAGTATCCATAGGCAAGAGTAAAGTGCCAAATAAGACCCAGTCCATTTAAGATTTTTAATTTATTGGTAGAAGCCACTGAATTTTATAATACCGCCTCCTGTAGTTTCACATCCAGCACACAGAAAACATGCAGAAATCTTTTATTTATTTTGGTTTTTTAATTTATCTGCTGTACCACTGAAGACATTCTCTGTTATGATTACGGCCATGTCTTGTCTGTCCATGTCTGTCCCTGCCTTCTGTTTCTTATATTCCATTTTCATTTCTGAAATTGCACATCTTCGACTACTTTCACTTTGTTATAGTGACTCTCACCAGAGATGTGAGTGAAGGAGTTGAGGAAGAGATGGGAGTCAAGTCAACTGGCACTTAATATGAGACATCTGTCCTTTGGAGCCTCTTTTTAAAGCGATGTCAGTCAAATATTATATGTGTCACAACTGCATCATAGATTTTTTTGGTTGGAGTTCAAACAAAACACATTACTGCTGGGATTGGTTTACGGTTCACAGTCAAGAGGATGGAGAACAGAGGAGATGAGGAAGAAAATTAGAGAAGTGAGATAACCTTTTCTCTTTTGTTACTGCTTGATGTCACTTTCTGTTTAACTTGGTAGTGTTGTGTTTATTGGAGCGCTTCCTGTTTTTCTGATTCCCAGACTGTTTCCCCTGTTTCCTATTAGCTACTAATGTGTCAGTTTACCCTCCACCTGCCTGCCTGCTTGTGTCTTGGAGTTGTTCCCAGTTGCTTCCCTTTTGGTTTGCTCTCATTAATTATCACCCATTCGGATCATTGATTTTTCTCTGTTATAAATACTTTGCCTGGACTTTTATTAGACTCATCCTGCTACTTCCCTGCAGGGGCATTAATTGTTTTTTTCTCTCCATTCAAGCTCATTATAGTTTCATTTGCTACCTGCCTCCCTATTTGCTTTTTCCTTACGAGTGTAAACTGACACATACAACTGGTTCTGAAGCCTATTCATAGATTAATTCAAATATCCTAGACTAAGCCTTATGACTTTAAATACCTTTTTAAAAGCCTAGTTATCTAAAGTAATGGACAGTGCAGAAGAGAGGAAGAGAGTGCAGACAGGGTGGAGACGAGTGTCAGGAGAAAGATGGCAACAAGAGTGAAAGGGAAGGTTTACATGATGGTAGTGAGACCCGTTATGATGTATAGTTTGGAGATGGTGGCACTAACAAAACGCCAGGGGGCCAAGCTAGATGTGGAAGAGTTGATTTTCACTGGGACAGACAAGACAGGACAAGAAATGAGTGCATTAAAGAGACAGCTCAGATTGATTGGTTTGGAGACAAAAAAAACCCCAAGACTGAGATAGTTTGGACATGTGCAGAGGAGGGATAATGGAATACTGGACAAAAGATGTTGAAAATGGAGCTGCCAAGCAAGAGGAAAAGACGAAGAGGAAGATTCATAGGGTGAGATGGAGCAAGATGATACCCTGTGAGGGAGCCAAAAGAGCTTTAGGCCTATTTAGACCTCAAGCTGCATCACATTGCGTATGGAGAATAGCTTTGATACTAAACATACACTATATTACCAAATCATTGAATTCAGGTGTTCCAATCATTCCCACAGGCGTATAAACCTTCCAGTCATGAACTGTCCTCGCTACAAAATGTTCCACAGTGGAAGTGATTGGGAATGACAGCATCTCAGCCAGAAGTGGTAGGACAAGTAAAATCACAGAAGCACATAGTGTGCAGAGGTCGCTGACTTTCTGCAGTCAGTCGCTACAGACCTCCAAACTTCATGTGGCCTTCAGACTAGCTTCATGGAATGGGCTTCCATGGCTGAGCAGCCGCATCCAAGCCATACCTCACTAAGTGCATTGGAAAGTGATGGATGCAATGGTGTAAAGCAGAGGACTATAGACTAGTGGAGACGTGCTCCCTGGAGCGATGAATCACACTTCTCCTTCAGGCAATCTGAGTTTGGCGGCTGCCAGGAGAATGGTACTCACCTGACTGCATTGTGCAAAGTGAAGGGGGACTATGGTGTGGGGCTGTTTTTCCGGAGTTGGGCCTGACTCCTTAGTTGAAATGAACTCTTAATGCTTCAGCATTCCAAGAAATGTTGGACATTTTTTCCCAAGCTTTGTGGGAACAGTTTGGAGATGGTCCAACATGACTGTGGACAATTGCACAAAGCAAGCTCCATAAAGACATGGATGAGCCAGTTTGGGCTGAAAGAACTTGACTGGCTTGCACAGAGTCCTGACCTCAGTCTGACACAACACTTCTGGGATGAATTAGACTGAAGACTGCAAGCCAGGCTTTAAGGGCTGAGATCAAAAATGTGCTTCTGTAAAAATGGTCAAAAGTTCCCATAAACACACTCAACCGGCTGCAAAGGGTGGGCCAACATCATGTGAAAACTAAGAATAGGATGTTACTTAAGTTCATATGTATGTGAAGGCAGACCAGCAAATACAAACGTCAGTTTGTTTCTATAACATGTAGGATGTTGAGGTCATCTGTTAAGCATGCACAGGTACATTTCAGTTGAAAACACTGTTTGAGGACAAAATGCACTGTGCTGAGAACTAACAAGGAACTCAAGTAAGGATCACACTCAAGCTCATATTGCTGCTAATAGGCTCATTGCACAGCACAATAACAGAAAGAAGGCAATACACAACAGCCTCATTAACACAAATCTAGCCTTCAGCAAAGCATATTATGAATCTCTTTAAACCTGCAGTGCTGAGTAGACTTTAAATGTGACCTGATTATAGGCCATGTACAATATTACCAAGTCATTACTCATTACTTAATGAGATATTTCACTTATTATGTACTTACAGCAAAATAATGGAATCGGTGGGTGTATGATAAATAACGACCGACGGGGGTTTGTTCAAAAAATAACAGTTTAATAGTTTTATCTCAATGACTTACATAATAACCACTCAGATAACCGTTCTGTAATGCAATTATGGAGATGCAAGATAAGTGAATATTTGGAGGGAATATTTGTTTTTAATAGGTCTTGCCTTTCATCAGCCACATTAATCATTTAATTTAGTAACATTTCCATTTATTTGCCTTTTTTCCAGCGAAACCTTTTAGTTGTTGTCTACCAAAAGTGAGTAACTAACAAGCCAGGCCTGTGACAAATTATAACACTGCTGTCATTTAGCCCAGTAAATCCAGCTCCCATCTTTTATTTTGTAGGATACTGCTCAAGTTAGAGTGTTTCGCATTACTGAAGGCTTTATTCAAAGTAATTTAATAATACTTGAGAGAAGAATCCTTGGGGTAAAAGGAGTGTAAAGAACATAAATGTTCAATCAGCTGTTACTAAGCTCGAGCAGGCATCTGTGGGAAAACAGTGTCAGAATATGTGTGGGCATCCACCTACCTGTATATCCGTGAGTTCTTTTGTGAGCCGTGATGCCACTGACTGCTTATCTCGACAGGGGATATGCAAGTTCTAAAACACACAGTTTTAATAATTTTATTGTCTCTGCAAATCAACTTGTTGTAAAATAAGTTTAGAGAAAAGGGTGAACATTAAGTGAGCAGATGGAGTTAACGCAAGAGGCCACAGGGTTCTGGTCACAGGATACCATGAGCCTCATTATTCAAAGCAATCCCTATAAGTATTAAAGTATGCTATTTTCATATTAAACCATTAATCAAATACAGATGGTGGAGCAGGCTTTTTTCTTTACATTATAATTTCTTAAAGGGAAATGTAATCACAAAATGTATATTTCTTTAAGCTGTGATTAAGCAGAATGTGACATGGCGAAACTTTTTGCAAAGTGATGCGCTGTATACTCACTGGCCACTTTATTAGATATACTTATTCAACAGCTCATCCCCACGTTGACATGCTAAAGCTCAAAGTGAGCATCAGGATGGAGGAAAAAAGGCCATTTAAGGAAATTTGCCATCATTATTGGTGCGTTTCAGAGAATGCTGATCTACTGGGATTTTTCCACACAACCATCTCTGGGGTTTACAGGAAATCATCTGAAAAAATGAAAATATCCACTGAGCCGTAGTTCTCTGGGGGTAAATGCCTTGTTGATGTCAGGGGTCGCAGGAGAATGGTCAGATTGCTTTGAGCTGGTAGGAAGGCAACAGTGACTCAAAAAACTGCTTGTTCCAACCATGATATGCAAAAGAGCATGTCGAGCCTTGAACCAGATGCTGCAGCAGCAGAGGACCACAGCAGGTGCCAGACTTATCAGTTAAGAAATTACTGGTGACCGCCCGCAGTGCTGGTCAAGTTACTTGAACATAGTAATTACATAGTGAGTAATTACTGATTTCTTTTCCAAGAAAGTAATCCAGTTACTTTGTTCAAATGAAATCAAATTAAAATTCAAACCTATTTTCTGCATATTCCAGCATATAAAATAAAATAATGTTTTGTGTTTACACTCACTCTTTCAAATAGATGCAAGTAAAACACAGCAAACAATAAATAGAATCAAAGACTCAGCGGCACTAAGTCCTGTTGCTCTTATATCTATTGTCAGCTGTTTAGCAGGAGTGGGACGGGTGGAGGTTTGTGCTGCGCCGCAGTGGTCATGTCAGTGGGGGGATCCGGGGGTTTCTCTGTGAATGTCACATTCCCGTGGCAGCGTGCTCGGTGCTTGTTCAGATTTAAAGTTTCATTTTTCACTGTCGAAAGAAGTTTTCTTCCCACGCAGAGTGTACAGCAGACGTCAATGTTTTTAGTCACTTTTTACGGAATCAAACTCAAATTAATGTAAGTACGTCCAAGCTTTAAACGCTGCATGGTCGTACTCTCTCCTGCACTCCATAATATCCATTGTTGATCTGCACACGTCTGTTGCTGCCACGGATGTCGCGCTCGGACGTCATTGTCATGAGACACTCTCACACACAAAATCACGGTTTACTGATGCAGTAACGCAGCGTGCTTATGGGAAACTAACAGTAATCTAATTACTTTTTTTGCAATAGTAATACCTTACTTTACTCATTACTTGAAAAAAGTAATCAGATTACAGTAACGTGTTACTTTTAACACATTACTGGTAGATTCACCTATGGCATCATTTTAGAAATCCTACGTTCCCTCATTCTTGAATTATTAGATTCAAAAGATTTCAGTAAACTTTTGAAAACTCTGACCTTGAAGTCACTGAGATTCAAACTCGTTCAAGATTTTTAGTGGCTGCATCGTTGCTCCGGTCTCGAATTATATTGTGTAAAGCGTCCTTGGGTTTCTTGAAAACCGCCATACAAATCTATGTTATTATAACTGTTATTATAATCACAAACTTGGGTTCCATGCCGCCCACTTTCCCGATGAGGTAACAAAAATACCCCATCAAATTTTACAGCTGAGCAGTAAAAGGGAAACTGAGGCTACAATTTGCATGGGCTAAAACAAAAACATAAAACAGAAGACTGGAAAAATGTTGTTAGGTGGTAGAGTTGTTTGTCCCTCATGCCTACAGTACCTCTCCCAGGTAGACAATGTGTCCAATAGGGCAGATCATGCAGGCAGTCCCGCTGCCAAACATCTCTTTGACCCGCTGCTGTTTGAGAGCACAGCATAGCTGGCTCATGGTGAGGTAGCGCTCTGTCACTTTAAACTCACCCTGAAAAAAACAGAACAGCAATCTTTTGAAAATGTGTTCATGCACTGTAACCTTTGAGATATGTCATCAGCATCTGTTGTGCTGTTGTTGTTAAAAGTGTGTTCATCTGTCCATCAAACAATAGAGAGTCAGGCATGCAGCTACTGATATCAAACCAACTTCACAGATTACATGAAATTTTACACAGGAAATCTCTTTTTCTTTTAGAAACATGCACATCTGGACTCTATGTGTGTCTGTTACCCATTTCCTGGTTAGTTCGAGGATGCTCCGTCGAGTAATGCCTGGGAGAATGATGCCATCCAGAGGTGGAGTTGCAAGCTCCTCCTCTATTAGAAAAAGAAAAACATTATTTGATATAATAAAAAATAAAAGAAATATGAGGTTTTTTGGCAATATTTTCTCACTGTTGTTATGGATAGACTGTATATTAAAAGATAACCTTGTACCCTTTGATGTAAAACCTGGTTTTGTGGACTGTTATGAAGCCTCAACCTAAGAGCAGTTCCACTTCCTGTTAGACCCACTGTACAAAAATGGTTGAAATTGAGCAATTTACAAAATGGACACATTAGTAAAGAAGGTTTAAAACTAGCAACAAAAACCATAAACACATCAGAAAAGTGTTTACTGAGGCAATAAATCAAGTAAATAGCAGTGTAGTTTCCTAACAGCCATCCAAAGAGCTTTAAGTTCTTTTTTTGGCTAGAAAGGTCACCACTTCCTGCTTATTAGACAGACGTAGGTTTATGTCCATCGTTTCTATACAGTGCTTTAAACCTACATTCATTTTAATGACCAGCAGGGGGTGACTTTTGTGTGTAATTCTGCCATTCCAAACATACGGAGCCCCTGAAAGCAGCGTCATCGTTATTAAGATACAGTCTCTGCAACTGACCAACCTCCATCCTGATTGATCCAGTGCAGGAAAATATTCATAGTTCCTGCCTCAGTTATCTGGTGGTCCTGTCCATACAGCCAGAGCACCTGCTGACACCCGTAATCATCTGCTTCGTACTGGGCAAACAGGGAGCATCCATAGTTCCTGTGGAAATCCAAAGTAAGATCATTAGGATACACCTGTAAAAAAAAGACTTGATCGTTCTGCGTGTTATACATACTCACACTGTAAAATCTTAATTACCAAATCAAACTAAGTCTTATATCAGAGTGCCATGGCTGATATCTTAGGAAATTTAAGCAAGCTTTCATGCAGTATGCATCTACCCACCCTCCCATCTTGCAGTCTCCAGTTCCTCCTCTCCAGGCCCGTGTGTATTTTGGGTCAGCCCACAGGGAGATGGCATCTGCCTCAGAGTTGAAATAAGAGCCAGCTTGACACAAGATCACATACAGCAAGGCACGGCCAGGCCGCTTTACGCCCAGAGAAGGCTGCCATAAACACATTAAGGAAATTAAATTGTTTTTCAGTTTTAGAAAACATTCGCCCCCACAAGAACGTCACCATCCTCCTCACCTCAGTGCTAATAAATGTTGGCCTTATGTACAGACTTGCTGAGTCTGATTGAGGAACCCAGTCCTGGTCAATCTCTACCAATCTCCTGATACACTCCAGCAACTCTGTCTGATCAAAGGCCTGGAGGAGTGAGACAACAAAAGACAGAGGGCGATAGCAAAAACCTATTCATCATTGTTTTTCCCCAGCTCATTCGTTCATTTATTCCCACATTAAGCCCCTTTGTTTTTCTCTACATCCATCTTACAGGCAGACAAGCTCTCTTGGCAGAGTCAGCCATGCGGCTCATGTTGAGCATCGGTCGGAAGAGACGCAGTCGGCTGTCATCTCCGCGGTATACCTTGAAGCCTTCAAACAGCTATTGAGAATACAGAGAACATTGAAAATACTGAATTCTCTTTAACCCTGATGGCTTTTTAACCACACATTCAAACTGTAAACTGAAATAATGCCAACAGCTTTATTCTGTTAGTATATGCATTTATTTTACTGTAGTACAGATTAACTGTTTATTCCGTTAAAGCTCAGTGTGCTATTGTCCATTAGTCAGAATTTTACAAATTTTATCTTTACTCAGTACCAAATTAAAATAGGTGTTAAAAACAGCCTGGTATAACATAAATAAGAATTTGAAATGTGAATCATGCAAAGCTACTCTAGTAAAGCTTATAAATTAAAATAAGGAGGGGTTTGGTGTGCCTGAATGCCATAATGTAGTGAGGAACAGGCTGGGTGGAGGGAAAGATTTGTGAACGGCCTGATGAACGGGGCTTGCCAGCCCTCAGTCACGCTCCACTCGACAGTCAGCATGTGGTCAGTGAAGACAGTCCCGAAGTCAACCACATGTGGCTTGGTTTTTAGAGCTGGGGACAGCTGAACAGCCAGGTCAACTGCCTGGTTAAAAACACAGAGCAGAATTATTATTATTTCTTTTTTAAAATAAAGGGATGCATGAATCTGAATCCAAGCTGTGTTAACATTTACGTTTGCGATCACATTTCACCAACTGATCCACTAATCAGGGAAAAGCACTCCCTGCAAAGTCTCACGAGCGCACTTTCTGATCATAAGCATATAATCTGCATGCTGTGGCTTTCTTTGCAATCCTCACCTCTCCTCACAGACAAATGCAGCACATTAAATCATGTTATATAGAAAATAAAGTACTCCTTGTGTCATGCTTCATTAGTGATACAAAACAACAGGACGATGCAGCTGCACCATTTTTGCACTGTTCATTTTGAAGTTGACCTTTGTGACCCTGCCCACAACAACTGGTGCTCCTACCTAAATTCTGGCTCTCATTTGGCTATTAAAGTATTTTCAGTGGCTTTGAAGCATTTATGTCACGACACTGGAATGCAGGTGCCGTCATCGGTGCACCGCATCTGGAATAGCCCGATTTTGGTAACAGACATTGATTGTCTCTGAGACCCACTGTGTTCATAAACAGGCCGTGGCTATGCTTTGCTGCCATGCTAGACCATATTACCCCATCCATGTTTGGCCACCAGGGGTTGTTGTAACACCAACATCGATACAAGGTAATTCAAGAACTGGACAGTTAACCTCCAGTGATATGGCTTTATAATTAAATCAGTGGGACTGGAACACACAAATGAGAACTGCATTCAAAAGCAAAGCAATATTTATCCCCCTAGAAGCTCTCTGTCTCAACTAGACCACCCAGAGGTCAAAGATCAGTGGGTTAAGTATGAAACAGAACAGCATCAAATTAACACTGACGCCTTGAATATGAGTCATCCAGTCTCTGAGTCCGTGATGTCACCAAGCTACCTCTGTGTTGCTGCAGTGACAGCAGGTTGAGAGAGATGTGAAAGATTTATCAAGAACTATGTGAAAAAAAGGAACAGTTGGGAGTGCTGTCCTTTCCTGCTGTTCAGCAAGACGGAATAATGTGATCCTTCTTTTGAAGAGACACTTCCTGCTGGCCAGCAGTCAGTTGTGTGTTGGAATTGGTCAGGATTAGATCGGCACTTTATCCACTCCCTTCTGGTGCAGACGGTTACTTGCGCCATAATCCCAGATTACAGTTAGTGGTGAGGGACCGCGGTACGAGCACTGCGTGAAATTGATTAGAGGAGTGCAGTTATTCTGTTTTTCAATCATTCTGAACATAAATACACAAATGTGATGCACGTCTTCTCTGCAGACAAACCAAAGTATTAGCTCCTATGTCGCACATCTTCACAGAACAGCACCGGAACGCAGTGGTAGCTTTAGAATGTGACAGCGTGCGCCGTCCTCAGAATGAGCCATAATCCTTCTTCGCTGCTATCTGCATCCAGCCAGTGTTCGGCTGGGATTAAATGGCTATAAATATGAATGTAGCTGAGTGTCTACAATGTGCAAGAAGAAGAAAGAAGGCAGCACAGGGCGTCTGACCTGGGTACTCCCACTACAAGGCAAATTGAGTCCCTTCCTGTGAGGTGCCTTTCAAATATCTGACCTGTCAGAAAATAAGAGGTTTCAGGATTGAACCGATGGAGACGCTCAGGTACCAAACATACAGGTCAAACTGCAACACATAACTCCAACTTTACATTTCTTTCAATGGAAGTGAAAGTTGGCAGACATCTCCAAGCCCGGGCCAGTGTGCGTCTGCACATGTCCACCCTAATCTCTACCTGATCCTGCTATCTACTGCTCAGGTGGTCAGGGTCAGAAAACAAGCAAAGCCCCAGCTACTTAGCGTGAGCTGGGAAAGTGGATTCTGCTGAGCAGGCTGCACTTGTGACAAGAACCAGAATGCACTACATATACCCCCCCCTCCCTCCTCTTTCTCCCTTCTCTAAAAATGGCAGCATCATCAAAAGAAAAGGCTTACTCGGGTTGACAACAAATGGACTTCTTTAAGTGCTGGGATTTGTTGGGATTCGTTTTTCAAGTGTTCGTCGTCACAATATGAACGCCGGTTCATGACTGACTCTCAAGGCCTTTCGGTGCTGCCCTTGGCAACATGAAGAAAAGCAGCGGAACCGGAGTATCTACTCTGTAGGGGAACGGGGAAGATTTTTAGGTGCTGAGAAGCCGAGGAATCACCAAGATGCTACACCTGGAGCTGCTACTGAGGGTAGGTGTCTTTAAGACATTGATAGAATTCAGACACATGAATTTGATTCATTACCTTGAAGCTCTGAGTACTGTCGTCAGCCATTCGGGTGGTGGCTCGGTCGCAGATGAGTCCCTGAAAACAGTGACAACAATCTAAACAATATCAAGATGTCAATAAAAATCAACAGCATACAAATGTGTCTGGATTGTACAAGTTTTTATTCATATAACCTGGGAAAGTTGCTTTAGTCAGGGGGAGCAATAAACCCCCTTTCACATTACTAATTACAGTGGCTTGTTTTCATATATAATGTACTGGACTCTTATTTCTACTGAACAACATCTACAGAGCTGCTGACTGTGTGAGTTTGTGTTATACTGTATATTGCGACATTTCGCTTTACAATAATTAGCTGAGTGTGAAATGCTGATATTGTCACTGCAACTCTTTGTGTTTGTCACACTTGGTTAAGAGGTGGGATTACAGGAAATAGAGATGAGATAGGAAATGTGCTTACTACCAGATTAAAGAACAAACATGGTCACTGACATTTAACAGTGCTTTAATAGTGATACGTTACCTTGAGAGAGGAGACGTCAGACCTGAGGTCGCTGTGATGGCAGTGAAGCCGGCACTAGACCTCCAAGTTGTACTTGTTAAACCGCTTACACTTAATCTCTCGAATTGAAACCAGTCCCATAACTGAGTTGTACTGGCAACAAAAATCAAATGAACCCACCTTGTGTTACAGGCAGGAAATAAATCTCTTTCTCTCTTTCTATTCTCTTTATTTGACCTGTTCTATTTTATTGTATTGGTAATGGAAATAAGGTTATAGGACTGTGTCTGAGTGTGGAGGGGAGTAGGCTTGTGGGACACAATTAAAGGAATGACTATAAAGCGAGACTAACGTACTGTTAGCCTGCTACACTGAGTGCTGTATCCCCTTGAAACCACAGGGAGGGGGTGCTGACTCACTTTTTAGAGTCAGAAACACCCACCGACGTTTTAACTCCTTCTGCCTCGAGCTTCCAACTACCTGTGCGCGTGCTCAGCTTGAGCATCTGGACAGTTGGCCAAACATTTTGTGGCGGATTCGATCATACGAGATTAAAAAGGTAACAAATATCTGCATATGTATGAATATTGAACAAGGATATTTAAAGAGGTTTGCATGTGCATGACTGACTTTAAATGTTCCTATAGCACAGTTTTTTTTACATAGATATGCGTACAATTAGTAGCTCGTTCTATAGATTTAGTATAATTAAGTGACGCCCACTTTTAAACTTAAATGAAACGGGGTGTATTAAAAGAACAAAACAAACAAACCTGAAAGCTTTGCTAAAAACACACACAGAGACAAAAAAAACCCGCTTTTGTGTATTTTTTTTTTAAAATCTCAAGCTAACTCTGGAACTAATTGGCTCGTTCTCACACCTGTGCGCCAAAGTAGGTGAATCATCGAATCTGAACACATTTGTTTGAATCTGTTCGCATCATGAGATGCTACCGTTTTACAGCCTTGTAGACTGGTTGGTATATAACACTGTATATCCTCCTGTTACATTCATGCCTTATTAAACTATTTGGGCTTTTAGTTAATTTTAATAGATTACTCATTCCCTTTAAAAGATATCTTCCTGCTTATTTACCCTTCCTAACACTGAACCTCTAAATATTTGGATAACTTGAATGATCACATAGCTCATTTTTGTTATTTGGTTCCTCCAAAAAACAAGAAAAAAAATCCCCAGTCGTTCTTATATAACACTATTCACGCTGTAGTTCTATTTGCCCATTATCTGCTTCTAACCTTGGAGTTAGTCCAACCAAAGATAAGCTGTCATATACGTGGTGAATGTGCTATTTATCCAGTGCTTCATGGTGTTATGCTGCTCAGTGTTTGTGGTTTCCCTGCTGAAAAACCTGTGTTTGATATTGCAAGGTTCTATTTTAATTCATTTTTATCAAAACGGTACTTTCTTGTCCTTTTTTCAGACTTCAGCCTCTCCTCTAGCCAGGAAACCAACATCACACCCTCGCCATCAGCAGCATGGACTATTGCACACCTCAGCCGTCGCGCCGGCACAATCCCGTGGACAGCATCTGCCGCAAACTGCAGACGATTCAGTGGCGCGGTGACCGAGAGCCCAATTCACCTTTCCAGATTCCCAAACTGTCCTCCAACAGTTACGACAGCCCTCAGTGTGGCCTCAGGCACAACTTGGAAGCCATCCTGAAGAAAGGGACCCTCCATAGAGACAACAGGGAGAAGGAGAAAACGAGAGAGATGGGGATGCCGAGCAGAGCAGCTTCCCAGCATTCCTCTTTCCTTCTAACCTCACCTTCCACTCCTACATGCAACCGCTCCACACCAGCTAATGTCACATACACTATCACTAGTACTTTGGGGGAGCGGCGATGTGCTGATGGAAGTGATTTAAGACAAGTTAAAACGTGGCAGGGGTATTGTTCGACCCCCACGGGCCAGTCCAAGGACTCCCCTTACTTTACATTCACACGAGGACCTCAGTCAGCACAGCCTGATAGCGAGAGGCCGAGCAGGAGCCCACCTCTGTCTCGTAACTTCACCCAAAGTCGCAGCACCCTCTCCTACAACGTCAACTTCAGTTCTGCAGACAATACAAACCCTGCTGAGTGTGAGCTACCCTACCCAGCTCTGGTTGTGAAAAGACTGTCTATGGGAGATGGAGGTAGGGTGCAGAAGTAGCTTCACTGATCATTAAAACTGTCAGTTGACAAAAATTATCTTTGCACAAAAACTGTTACATCAGCAAAAGATCCTCGAAAATGATTGTAGTCACGAAGCTGTGGATTAGAAAAGCATGGAGATGTCAAACTGCAGATTTACTTCTGAATTAAAACCGCTTGTGAACAAACGACCTCAGCAAGGCATGCTTACCAATCGAGCAAAGCAGACTGCCCCAGGGCTTCAGAAGCCTTGCCATGCTTCAGGTATAATATAATAGTTGTGGACTCCTATTGTGCAGGATACACAATGGGGGAAATGTTAAACTGGATTCTGATTTATTAACCCATCTTTAAAAATAGGTTCAAATATGCAGTACAGTGTTTACAGTACATTAACATTACCTAATCCTTAGTTTCAAAGTAAGCATAAAAAAAGTGATTTTTAAGTGGCAGGCATCAATCAGAATCAGAATATTTTATTCATCCCGAGGGAAATTAACATGAAAAGCTTCGGTGCAAAAATATGTCTTAGAGCCGAGGCTGGCTTTGTTACTCAAAGCGGTACCTCTAGAGGTTAATGTGTTTTACTTCACAATGCCCTCTTTATGCCATCACAGACAGGGTTTGAACAACTAGCACTTTGGAAGTGTGTAATGTTATGTACTGGAGCATCTCTACCTTGTCCTCTGCTGGCACAGTGCTTTTTGTCAGAGAAGGAGCACTCTGGATTTTCCTGCCCAGCATTGGTCCTCTGCAGTCGGGATGAACAGCAGGAGTGACTACAAGAAAATCATGAACTATTTCTTTAAGTCCTTGTCTTGAGGAGGGTGTCACTGTTTTTGTTTGGACTTTCTTCCTCCGCACTGGAACTAAATCAATCAGTAAATCTTGCCACATATCAAACATCGGGCCAGTTAGAATTCCTGGATGGAAGCGGCTGTAAGAGGAAAGAGTGGCAGAAATTTGGCCCAAGAGCTTTTGTTTAGTCACTGGTGCTGGTTCAGAACTAGTTTTCAGACAGAAACTATGTAACATTTTCAGATTTTTGCTTCCAGACGGTTTAATTTAAATTCAAGACTGTAGATTATTAATTGAAAGCAATAATTACTAGCTGTAGTTCTGAAGTGACTTTCCTTTTGTGACTCTGTAATGGATAATGTTTCCTCGTTATACTGTCACACACACCGTGCTGTGCCTGCAGGAAAATGTATCATGTGCTTTCTTTGCTACACAGCTGAATATTCTCTGTGTTTGGTGTGTTTTCTTCAGGGCCTTCAGTTGCCTCCGAAAAAGGGAAGGAGAATATGGCTGAAATCAGTCTCATCTGTGAAGAGAATCTGCTCGACACCATCTTCCATGCTTGTGATACCCAGCGCAGAGGTACGGCCGTATGTGCTCGCACAGTAATCAGTCAGTCAGGCACTAGCCTTTAGCTCAATACAGAAGCCTAACAATGAATTTTAAGTCGCTACTTAGCGTAGTGCAACAGTGCCTCTTTTGTACAGACTGCAGAAGTCATTTCTTCAGCTTAAAACATTTGCATAGTATCAGTCCTCTCTGCGCCTTCCTCTTGTGCCTGCTTTTGCTCACAGCCACTCTCACATCTCAGAATGTGAAAATGTTTCTTCTGCTTTTTTACAGAAGCTTCTGTGTTTTCTGACATGTTAGTGATTTTCTGCTGTGACTCATGGTGCTGCATGGATGGCATATTAATAGACAGAGAGAGGGGTTTTTGTTTTTTGCCTCTTTCTTCTGTTTATAAAACCATTTTTAAACAGTTAGACAAACCTAAAAAATATCTTTTTTTTTATAACCACCAAATCTGATTAAATCCAAGGTTGCAGTCTCTTCTTGTGTTCGGGCTACTCAGGTGATTTTCAGAAAAATGGTGCGCAGACCTTTTTTCTGATTACTGTCTGAAGCTTGTTGAGTAAAGTCGGCACTGAGAAATGTGTGAAACCAACCACCAAAAAGTTAACTGTGGCTCAGTCACTATGGTTACTGCTTTTGCTGCCTACACCTATAACCACAATCTGTCACAATGTATCTGGGGGTGTTTAACTGTGCAAAGAAAGAAAATCTCAACTTGAAATGAACAAGAATATAAAAAGAGTGTCTTCAGCTTTATGATCAGATAAAGTTCTTTTATATCTTGAACATCAAAGTGTATCTAACGGGTCTTTTTTCTCCCCCCTATTATTTTTCTAGGGAAAGTGTATGTGTCCCATATTGTGGACTATCTGCGTCACACCACCAGTCGCAGCTCTGAAGATAGCGGATTGGAGGAACTTTGCAACATGCTGGATCCAGAACACAAAGACGTGTCAATTGATCTGGACACATACCATGCTGTCATGAGAGAGTGGATCGATGACTGCCGCAACAATGGGTACTAGAAAATGTTACAGTTATATTTCAGAAATATGTATGTCGAAAGCTTTTCAGTTTAAAAAGAAAAAAAAAGCTAAGGATTTGTTAGGTCTGCAATTTTATGGTGAAACCAATCAGACATTGTGAGATTTGCAGTATGAATGTGAACATCCTGGAGCATCTGATAAGGTGTCCTAATGGCAGTAGGCTTCACATCTACTTGATGCTTAATATTTCCATATATAAAAAAGAAATCACCTTTAAGGCATTCTTGTAGGAAGTTAGGTATCGAATAAGATGAGCTAAATCTTACAACTAAATATCCACTCACAAGTGGATTTCAGAAAAAAATATTTAGTTTGTTAGGTGAAGCCATGGAAAATTAACGTTTTGCATCTTAGTCTGATGTGTGGGCTGGTTAAAGTGACATTGCATGAAGTGAGAGTAACTGCTGCATGACGTATCTTTTTACTGGTGCGTCTTGTTACTGAGTAGAAAAGAAGGGTGTCTTCATCATCATCATCTGACAACGAAGGTTGCTT